CAGCAGGAACCGATGAGACTCTGTACAGCATTCCTGGAAAACTCAGTGCAGTTTCCATTAGGGGGAAAAATGGACAATTTTTATATCATGTGTGATAGCATAGTAATTGAGATTGAGAATCCAATTTCTTTCTCTAACACTTTCTATCCCAGCAACTGAAAATGGCTAACCTGGCTTTTCATAATCATTCAGATCTTCATCGTGGCTTTCCAAGAAACGATTATGTGACTAATATATGGCTAAACCCTTTTTCTGAGCCACACCATGATTTTGTGCCAATTCCTGACCACAGAGACTTCTGCTCAGAACTGGTACATGACACAACCATTTTTGTATATGTGCCAACAGGACAAACATTTTAAACACAAAAACCGTTTCAAAAGAGAGTAACGAACCACGCCTCCACTATCTTCTTTTTAAACCTAAGACAGGCCAAGAAACCAAGATTTGTATGCAAAAAGCTTTGCTTTCCTGTTTTATACCTGCTGACTATAAATACATAAGAGGACCTAAACAAATTCCTCCCTCTTTTTCTTCTTTGTGATCTTGAAGGCAGTTGGGGATGCTGTCAGGCAACACTGAGGACAAGATGGAGAACTGGAGAGTTGTGAAGTCTACTGGTGTTGTGTGGGGTGGTGGTGGGAAGGGTCCTTTAAACTGGAAGACAGACACTGGACTGGAGAAAACGCACATAGCGGTTCACTGGAAAGTTAGTTTGCACTTAAGCTCCAATTTTATTTGAACTGTTTTCTGGATTCTGAATGAAGCAATATGGCAGTGACCAGCAAAATACAAAATAATAATTTTAAATTTTAAAAAAAATTAATTATATGTAAAGGATGACTGTGGAAATGCCAAAATGAAGCAAATCAAGTCTTTGGAACAATGTCTACCAGTTCTGAGAGGCCGTTACGTTGACTGCTTCAGAGAATACAGTGACAGAGCAACCAGCTCTTACTGCTGCCATGTGAAGGATAGCAGAGCAAGGCCTGAAAGGGATTGGAAGAGACAAATGTCTTGCTCTGGCTTACAGCACAGTACGGAATACTTTTTTCTAAAAGGAGGATTACTCTGGCACAGAAGACAGTGCCTATGAGGTTTGAAAAGTCAAAATGTGCATGACTCACAGAGCTTTCCATCAAAAATATAAATAAGTACGCCTCACACTTACTTCTGCTTTTCATCAACCTCAGTTTTTAGGTAGACACCCCCACCCCACCCCCTGGCCTGCACCTCTTTGGAAATACCTTTCAGCCAGAGTTCTGGACATTTTTAGCGACCTGAGGCAGATGGAGCTGGGAAGGGAGGCATAAGGGCCAGAGGCACTGGTGGCTTGCTTCTGCCACACCAAGACCCATGTGTGTAAGAGCATTTTCCTACCTAGTTCCTACCAAAAATCTTAAGGAACTATTAAGTACCTTTCAAGATCTGCCCATGTCTCTATCCATCAAGGCTTTTAAAGGGGAAGAAACTGTACCTGATGGATGACAATCTTAGGTGGTACAACAGTATTTCAGTTTATGCACTTCAGTACTGTTGAACTCGAAATCTTTGGGGTGAGCTGACCTGGCAACAACAAGTGGTCTGGAAACGGCATCAAGCTCCTCCAGATTCCTGCCATCTCAACAGCTTGGCACCTTTAATCATAGGGAAGCAGAAGGAGGACTGAGAAACAAGCAATAGTTACCCAGATCTTGGTGGCTGAGATCAGCTTGGTAAAGGTAGGAAGAGATTTTAAACTTGGGTTGGTTGTTATGCTGGTAGATGGGAAACAAACTGTATATGATGACTAGGCCAAGGTCGGTTCAGCTGACAGCCTGTTTCTGCATCAGGGTATTGAGGCCAACTTGAACCAGCTGCGGGGCAGATATTAAACCTGAAAACTGAATTTGTAGCTGAAAAGTCTGAAAACAGCGAGAACAAGTATGGATCTGTGAAGCTATTAAAAGGAGATGTTGGGTCAAGTGGTACCAAGGTGGTTTGTGGTGGCAGGACAAAATGACCAGCAGACTACTGAAGTGGGATAGATGGTTACAAAACATCATGCATCTGAGAGGCCTTGCCTCTTCCTGGTGCTGTCCCATAACTCCTCGTGATCTTGGTAGGAGACAGAGGCAGGCGTTGGGCCAGGACTGGGGGTGCAGAGGGGTGCCAAGAGGTCCTGGAGATGCCACTCCAGGGAAAGTTTGCTAGTGGTAGTGCTCACACAGTGTCATCTGAAGCATGAGCAAAGGTCTGCCAGAGTGGGACACCATTGCCAAGCCGCCTGGAGTTAAAAGACCAGCACAGGATTGTGGATGTCCTGTTTCGGCGCAGAAGCAGCACAGGTTATGTAGGTAGGTGGAGGAAGGGGTTGATTTGTCCCTGAACAAGTCTTGTAACAGAGTAACTCCTAATGGAGAAAAAATAAAATAAAATTCTGGTACAGCTTACGTGTTTGAATTCAAAGAGGTGCACTCAAAGGCTGCTGGGGCAGAAGCAAGCACGCCTCCAAACCTGGGTGGGATGGTGCTGGGATGTAGCTGCTAACAGAAGGTGAGGCCTGATTGTTTCTCTGGTAATTAAGTAGTACTGGTGTTGGAAACAAGCCCTTCAAATAATCAAAATGTAAATAACTGGGTTTTTTAACAATTTAACATTCTATTTCTTACAAAACTTCAATTATTTATTTATTGTAATTGTTGACTGTGGGTGTGATATAATATATTAAGTAGCATGGAAATGCGGAGTTTCCTTGAAGTGAGGCAGCGTGAAGGCCGGAACAGAACCTACCTTTTGCTGGGCCTCTGACATGCAGCCAGGCTGAGCTGTGCCAAGCCGTGCTAGCTGTGTCCTGAATAGCAGAGGGCAAACAAAGGGTTAATGAATACAGTGATCCCTGATGATGGAAAACTCAACTGGCTGCAGCTTCACAGATGGGTGGTTTTTTTTCCTGATCTTCTGGTTTCAATTTCCAAAAAGAGCCCTTACGTTTCCTGCTGTGCCGGTAGTTGACCTTTGTTGGTGCATGGGCCTGCGCAGTAACTGGCTCCTTCTCCCCAGTAAGAATAGCAGTCTTCTGAATGCAGCTGTAGTTGTGCACGTTTCCTCTGGAAGAGTAGTGCCTCTGAGCTACTTTGGCAGACTCTCTCTTTGCCAAAGAAAGTTTAACCATGGTTAAAGAAAAAAAAAAAAAAAAGGCAAAACCAAGAGCAGAAGTGTTGGGCTACTTTAATCTGATCAGCACAAACACCTGCCTGGCCCGAACTCACGTGCTTGCCTTAGCTGGTATAGCTGCTGGCTTGGTGAAAGAAGTCTGGCAAATGTACATGGCAAAATCATGCAAATATTCAGCTGATGACGTTGTGAAAGGGCTTTTAATGAATAATTACAGGTCTGGAGGAAAAGCAGGTATTTCCACACGCAAACTACGTTTTGTCAGCACAAAGCAGTGGGTGAGAGCATCAACACAAGTATTTTGTCTGGCTGTGATTGTTTTTCTAGTTCTACGATGGTATCTATGAGGCGCTGTCAGTTTTTGTGGATTTTATAATGCAGTCTCCTGTTCGTAAGAGTTCTCCT